GCACAGAAACTGGAGGATAATAAGACAGGGACACAATGACTGGAAAATGTGTGGAAAGGAGGGATGGCCACATCAAACTCTAACATCAGACAAACAAAGGAATTCGTAGATCGGCTGCATGTAGGGAAGATCACGGGTTCCCAATACATCTCTTACTTACATCTTACAATTGACTTATTGGTATTTTTCAGCAAAAAATAAGGGGAATTGAGATAGGTCGAAGTTGATCTAGAACTCTTTGAATAGCCTGTTTCATTGAGAGATCAAAGATCAATGGGGGAACTGTAGTTGGTAAAGCATGTACGAGGGGGACTATAGCACGGAAGGTTAATATCCGATGACATATAATTAAGATAGATTCGCACTAATTTAGATTGGATGCTCAATTCGAGCATTTCTTTGAAGTTTTCAATCACAAGGTTGTTACTGAAGCAAACCCCACACGCATCAATATATTGACGCGAAGGGGAATTATTGACAATAATATTGATGATGTGAATTCAGAAATATTGTCAATCTCGATATATTGACGTCAATATAGAATGTATTGACAATACGATCATTGTCAATGAAAGCAATCGTGTAGGGTCCACTTGACACTACATTTAATCAATATTCTTAATGAGAGCTCACAGAAACGGTTCTACAGGGGTTTTAATCCCACTAGAACCTCTAGGCTCATATTGTATCTGCAACCCATTAATTTTTTTTTTAATATTAGGCATCGAAATACTGTTGAAAAATAATCGGTAAATTAATATTAGTGATATTGTTAAATCAAAAAATCTTGAAAAATCTGGAACATATTTAAAAAATCTGGAAATAAGCGTGATGTGTCATCAGTGTATCTGGCAAAACGACTGAAAATCTGGAAAACCCAGATAAGTATGGAATACTGTCAACGCTGCTCATGTGGGCTGCAGATCGCTGCTTGCGGGCAGCCTTTCGTTGTGTACCGGAGAACAATGTTCAACACCACGCGCCCAAAGCACTGCTGTTGCTGCTGATGACGACCAATCGGACACCACCACACATTATGATTAACCCGTAAAAGCCCGGGACAAACTTTTTATTTTCAAAAATTTGTATCTCAGATATGCCATGGCCGAATAAATTGAATTTTTTTTTAAATCATTCCGGTGAGTGGTTCTTACATCTGTTGGGTGGTACTCCCCCTCAGGCCCCTCTTTTTTGCTATTTATTCAAGGATGTGTTGGCACGTGGGTGTTTTTTTTTTCAATCTTTATCATATCAATCTCATTGCAACAACATATTGATATTTTTCTTGGAACTTGAGAAAATAATAGAGAACAATCATAAGAACCCAAGTCTACCTTGGAATCGATTCCGGATGTTCCGGATTATGGTTTCATATGGTCAAATTTATTATCTCTCATAACCATATCATGCGACATATCAAATATACTCGATGAAATGTGACCAATGGCACTCAAAATGACAACCAACTGGTTCTGGGTCCATATGGTCAAATTTGATTTCTCTCATAACTATATCAAGCGGCATTAAATAACATCTACTCGGCAAAATATCGCGAATGACACTTAAAACAACAACCATGAAACCATATGGTCACCGTAGAACCAGTTTCAGATATTCCGGATCATGGTTTTACATGGTCAAATGTGATATCTCTCATATCCATATCAAGCTACATATCAAATCACATCTTCTCGACGAAATATGATAAATGGCATGTAAAACGACATACATAGTGTGGCCATCGTAGAACCAGTTACAGATGTTCCGGATTACGGTTTCACATGGTCAAATTTGCCATCACTCATAACCATATCAAGCGACATATCAAATCACATCTACTCGACAAAATATGACCAATGGCTCTCAAAACGACAATCATAGAGCCATATGGTCATAGTAGAACCGGTTCTGGATATTTCGGCTTATGGTTCCATATGATAAAATTTGATATCTCTGATGATTATCCGGATTACGGTTTCACATGGTCAAATTTGCCATCACTCATCAAGTGACATATCAAATCATAACTACTCGACGAGATATGATCAACGGCACTCAAAACGACGTCCATAGAACCATATGGCATCCGTAGAACTGGTTTCGGATATTCCGGATCATGGTTCCACATGATCAAAGCATCTCTCATAGCCACTTTAGAAATAAAAAAATATGGTGGAAATGATTGTCTCTCATGGTTATGACAAGTGAAATATCAAATCACATCTTCAAGAAATATGACCAATGACACTCAAAACGTTATGCATTACCATCGTAAAACTGGTTCGGATATTTTTGTTTATGGTGGCAGTAGAAACATGAATAGAGTTAATTCATACCTTACAATAGGTTTCTGATGATCCATATAATGGGTTTACATTCTGCAAATTCATGATTAATCATTATCATATCATACCACATCATCAAATCATATCTAGTCAACGAAATATTTATCACCACTTGTGTTTGGCTGTGTTACGTTCCCTCTGGGACTTTACGCCAGTTCTCAACTTAGTATTCCACAATTTTTCCAACCCGAAAAATTCATAAACAGGACTGGGAATCGAAGGAAATTCAAATAAAAAATCATTACTCAAAATGAACATTGGTATCAATGCTCATTATTCAGGGGTTGGCAAGCATTTAAAATATATATAATTGAATGTCTTCACGAGGGAATGTGGTTGTAAATTACATATAAAACGATCTGTGTAGTTTATGGACAGACCTAAAGTAACTGTCAGTTTTATATACTCGATTAGATCATCTACTTGATGTGATGTTAAGCACTATCTACATTCCACAAGACCATTTTTGAGAGCTTTTAAACCCCACCAGCAGGGGAACATAAACAATCATCCATACAAATATGATCATATTTTATGAACTGTGAATATTCGCCAACTTCCCTTTCCCCAAAAAACATGAAAAATTTGCATCCTGGGTGGCTACTGTTTTTACTTTGATCTGATCTAATTCCTATCACAAGCATGACGATCTTGTTGAGGCTCTTCTCTCAGGTCCACTGCCATGACTGCTGCCTCTGCTGCGATATCTTGCCTGCTTCTAATCCAGCACTTGCTTTCGTTTCCGCCCCTCCATAGTGTATCGTCTATTCACCTTAACTTATGTTTCTGAAATTCTGACTTCGGATCTGTCGGATTCAGTTTAGCTGTATTATGCCATATTTATTCGGTTTATTTTTAATCGGCACTGTGATTATTGTTTTGAGTGCCATTGGCCATATTTCGTTGAGTAGATGTGATTTGATGTGGCAATGATAGATAACGAATTTGAGTATGTTGAGCCATAATTCGGGATATCTGGAACCGATTCTACGGTGGTAATAAGGCTCGGTTATTATTTGTTAGAGCTATTGGTAATATTTAGTTGAGTAGATGTGATTTGACATGTCGCTTGATATGGTTAACATAAATAACAAATTTAACCATTTAGAACCACAATCGTAAATAATGTAACCTGTTTTACGGTGGCCATATGGGTCTATGGTTTTCAGTGCCGATTGTTAATATTTCGTCGAATATATGTGATTTGATATGTCGCTTAATAGGGTTATCAGATAAATCAAATTTTACCTTGATGAACCATAATCCAGAATTCCCGAGACCGGTTCTACGGTGGCCATATGGCTTTATGGTTTTCATTTCAGAGCTGTTGGTCATGTTTCGTCGAATAGGTGTGATTTGATATGTCACTTGATATGGTTATCAGAAATATCAAATTTAAACATATGGATCCATAATCATTAATATCTGAAACTATTTCTAAGGTGGTAATATTGCTCTATGCTTGTCGTTATGAGTAACATTGGTCATATTTCGTCGAGTAGATGTGTTTTGATATGTCTCTTGATATGGTTATGAGAGATATCAAATTTTATCCTAAGGAACCATAATCCGGAATATCCGGAACCAGTTCTACGGTCACCATATGGCTCTATGGTTATAATTTTGAGATCCATTGGTCATATTTCATCGAGTAGGTGTGATTTGATATGTCGCATGATATGGTTATTAGAGATAATAAATTTGACCATATGGAACCATAATCCGGAACATCCGGAATCGATTCCAAGGTAGACATGGGTTCTTATGATTGTTATCTATTATTTTCTCGAGTAACAAGAAAAACATCAATATGTTGTCACAATGATAAGTAACATATATGATCCAGATCGAAAAAACACCCCCTTGCCAACACATCCTTGAATATATAACAAAGAGGGAGTGGCCTGAACCACTCACCGGAATGATGTTAAAAAAAATCAATTTATTCGGCCATGGAATCTCTGAGATATGCATATTTGAAAATAAGAAGTTTGTCCCGGGCTTTTACGGGTTAAATAAGCACCGTTCGGCGAGACCGGATGGAATTCGATTTTGAAATCTGTGTTAGGGAAAGCACTTTTTGCAGGCAATCGGTGATAATATTGATCACCATTACAACAGTGGGACATTATTGTAATTTTTAATAACGACCTATCGAAAATTAATAAAGTGTTCATTGAAGTAGATTTGTAGAAAAAAATTCCAATCGATTGGCTTGTTTAGAATTAAAATCCATCCGCTATTGACAAAGTTATAAGTGGTTGAAACCTGATCAATTTTCGTAACGCGATCGATTTTGGTTTTTTGAAATTGCACCCCCATTATGTTGCCGAAAGACGTAATCATCAAAAGTTGCACGAGGATCTAGTTTCAAATTATATTTTCTTAACAGTCGGAGTCGACATTATTTCTTCGACTTTGACTCCAACTCCGACTCCTTATGCTCAAAAATACGTCCAATTCCGACTCCGACTTCACAGCCCTGGAAAAAGCTAAAGGAGGTAAACAAAAACTACCACATTACCAGGATATTTGAGTGACGTTGTTTAAACCTAGGCTTGAAGTCTATGCACGAGGAAAATAAAAGCAAAATGGATCATCCTAGAAAAATCTATCCGTGCTCAAAAAATAGCTATAGAAAAGAATACTACTTACTGCGATAATCATGGTGAAATTATCCAGGAATCCGAAACCAATGAATGGCAGCGCGTTCACAAGTCCCACTGAAAGATAAAACACAAAAGAAATAAAATGAATTAACTGGTGTCAAACTTCTGCAAACACTTGTCAAGAAACGAAATTACTCTGTGAAGTTCTCGAACTGCTGTAGTCCGTGTTTAAGCCAACACGACACAGTTCTCCGGCTAACCGATATAGCCTCGCCGCATGCCAGCACAGCAGCAGGGAGGAAAACTTTCCAAAATGGTAATTCATTTCATCGTGCTTTAATTAAATTTCGTTTTCAGGTAACGAGACGTCAGTGCGTAGTGCGAGTCAGAAAGTGCGGTGGAATTTATTTAAAATGACAACAAAAAGGAGAAATAATTCACTCTCAAATGCATAACCGAGTGTTCACAGCAATCCTTTCATGCTGAAATGTTGATTTTATTCATGGAAAGTCTGCGCTTCGTTTTTGATTGAACTGCTTCCAGCTATTCGGTATGCTCGTTTTTCAGGATTGTTTTATTTTTATTTCACCTACTTCCATCATAGAGCATAGCCGGCAGTAATTTGAACTTTCGGTATACAAGATATACAACACAAAGCTTTTGGGATAGATCAGGCACATGGGAATTCTGTGGCATGTTATCAGATGTTGGATGGATAAGAGCATTACTTCTTCATGATTGATTTAAGAGAAATCCTCTGAGTAAACATCTACATTGGGGCAGGAAATCAGAAAGATGCCTTGAATGGTTCTGTTGAAAGGATTCCGATTGCTACGTGATTGATGAGTTTTGTTGCGAAAGTTGAAGAATTGTAGGGAACTGAATGTCACTCAGGTGCTTGAGCGGAAAAGAACGATTAGAAGTGAAACCTCAAGCAACAAGATTAATGATTTCAGAACTGCTTTAAAATCCGGAACAGGTTAGAAGAGCAGTAAAATTATCCATGAATCACAGGTTAAAGCCAGCTTCTCAGCGAACATCAACCCAGCTCATAAATCCTTTGGGGTGGAACGTCGAGTGAGATGAATTTTCATGTCATAACTTGCGGAATAAATTTACAACTATCAAGCTCCCCCGCCAATCCCGACAACTGATTGCAAGCTGATGGAAACACATTCTCATTAAAAAAAAGTTTTCCATGGATATAAAAATGAGCTCGGTAATGATTCATAATCAGTGCGCAGTGCTGTGCTTCGAAGTTGGTGAACACGAGAAAAAGGGGGTTTCGTGTGCCTTCAGGTAGATTAAGCTCTGAAAAGCACGTTGTTATCCGATTCTCCAATCGAGAATAAGAAAACTGAAGTTGTAACAGGTGCCGTCAACCCTTTATCCGTTTGGTGGAAAGTTTGAAAAGTACACTCACACCGAAAGTCAATCATCTTTCTTCTTTTTTTTCTCGGGAGCCGCTGATGATGATGATGATGCTGAAATTTCTTTTGATAACGGTTCGAATAAATTATATTCATATGAAATGTGTTCTACACACACCGGGGTTCTCACTCACCCATACACTATTTTTTTTCAGGAGAATTTTGTCCTGGCGTTAGAAAAAAGTCAATTTGCACCGTAGCTGCAGTTTGATTTCAATCGATAATTTGCACCGTAGTTGCAGTTTGATTTCAATCGATAATTATAACTCTAATTGAACCCCTAAAAACAAGATTTCAAATCGGCATTTTTCAACAAAGGGACAAACTTTCCTACGATGAACAATGATCTAAATTGATGTAATGAATATGAAAATGCAAAAAAAGTGAAAATTAGCCATAGTGGCGGATACGTCGCTTTGCTGTCACACGACAGCACAGTAAATAAACGTACAATGAAGCAGTGGGAAACGATTCACCACCTTTAAAAAAAAGGTATCCTTCAATGAACATATTTTAATTCAAACGGCACTGAGATGAATCATCGACCAAAGATGAAAAGGTACGCTCATGAAAAAGTTGGAAGTATGTTTGGACGGTTTCCAGCTCGAATTGACACAAAACTCACATTTTCTTTAAGACCCCGACTGGGAGCTCATCAATCAGAGAGAGAGGATGTGAACAACCTTCTGTCGATTTGGGTTGGAAGGCATTTTCAGCCTTTTTTTCTTTATAAATGATTTGCCATGCCCATCCATCCATCAAGCGGAGGAAGATTTCCTGTCCTCAGTTCATATTTTTTGTTCGTTCTGGCCTCCGAAAGATCAATGAAAACTTCTTTCCACATGGATGCCAACGTAGCATGTGTGTGTGTGGAGAATAATGGTATGATGTCGAAATTTTGAACAGATGTAGGGAATGTTGGATGGTTTCTGTTCAAATTTTGTTTCTCTGTGATTCTTATGCTTCCATGCTTGAACAAATATATAAAGTCTGGTCCACTTAGAATCGATTTGATTTTAAAGTACACGTGTTTCAGTGGTGAAAGTTGCGTCTCGATACGTGCAGTATTTAAAAAGTTGTACTATACGGAAAACGAGAAAAGAAAATTGATCATGCAGACCCACGTCAAAAACCCGACGTGGTAAATTCGAAGTATCACGAAAAAGTTGAAAATCGCCGATTTCAGGCAGGTTTATTTTCCCCGGAAACCCATGACCTGGCAAGGAATTTGCAGCTGTGGACTCAAAACCAAGCTTTTCATCACCAACAAAACGATGAACTCGAAGCTATGTAAGCAAGAGTGCCTTTCATTAAGGCTCACAAAGGTCCAGTGAAGTTCGGGACTGATTTGACACGCTGCCACTACTGCAGCGACAATAACAGCGATGGTAGCGATCAATGCTGTCAAAAATAGTGATTTTAGTGACCATTAGACTGATGCAAAATTTGACTTTTTCGCTCCACAGTGCTTAAATGGGTTCAAATCGGGTCCTGATTAGCCTCCCAAAATTACAACTCATTTGGTTAGAAACAGGCTTCGCACGAGCCATTTGAAGTTTACATTGAAATTATTATGGGAAATCTCAACTTTTTGTTCATTGCCCTCTAGTTTTTTTTCCATATTGAGCTGCGAAACAGTTCGATAGCAATTCTTACAGAAAATTTTCTCAGCTACAACTTTGCTGAAAATCGTTTTTATGTAAAACGAGACAGGAAAAAGTTATTAATTATTTAAGAGATTGGTAAACTTATGACATGATCAAGCAGCTGCTCTGTAGGCAACACTGTATTTTGCAGTGTGACATAGTAGCCATGATTTTTGTGTCCTATTCAACGCCCCAGAAACTCCAATGTTGCCTGCTGAGCAGTTGATTGAGCATGATCATAAGACATCAGCGCATTGAACCATTGATAACTTTCGATCCTTGCATTTAATCAAAAAGCGGTCTTGAGCTAAGTTGTAGCTGGGAAAATTTCCTACAAGTACAGTTGAAAGCTTTTGAAGCAGACCGATATGGTGAATTTTTAGATAGAAATGAACAAAAATCTTGGTTTTACCATAGTAATTCCCATACAAACTTCAAATGGTTTGTGCCATCTCAGTTTCTCACCAAATGGGTTCAAATTTTGAGAAGTTAGTCAGGATCCGATTTGGAATCGTTTAAGTATTGTGGAGCGAAAATTTCAAATTTTGCATCACTCTAGTGACCATGTTGAAGAAATAAGTGACCAAATAGTGACTTGCTGTAAGTGATAGTTCTAAAAAAGTGACTAGAAAGTGACATAAGGGAAGAAAATTAGTCGTTCTGATGGAATACCAAATAAATGTTTGATGTTTAAGACTTATTAAATTAGATTCTCATAAACACTTAAACATGAAGGGTAGGAACCTTTAAAGCGAGAAATTCAATAGAAAGTTTATGACTAAACCTTCAAGCTTCTAGTGCTTGGAAAAACCTAAAAAAAACCGGAAATTCACAGGGAATTTTATTTTTCCTGAAAATACCTGGAAGTATCAGGGAATCTTATAATTACTCAGGAGATTAAATAATGTTCTTACGAAGAATGTATTTTAAAATAAAAACATTTAATATTTCTAGTTATTTTAATTCGCACATTGAACTTTATATGTCCAGAATGGATAAATCTTCAGTAACAAATACATTTTTAAAATTTAGATGGTTCAAATGATTTATAGAATATGCATATTTTCCACAAATTTTATAAATTCTGAACTGAAAAGATATAATACTTCAAGAAATTTTCAAGAATCTGGAGTCAAATTCCTTGCATAGTTTTAAGGCACATGGAATTTTATTATAATTTCTAAGGACCTCATTCTACGGGAATTTTGGGGAAAAATCCATGAGAAAAACATCAAATGCAATCTGATTTCATGGTAGTTCTGAGGAATTTTAGACTTCATGTGAAGCCTAAGCCTAAGATAGGAAGCTCCGAGCGAATTTTCATGAGAAATCTCCGTTGAATATGGAATGGACTATTCTGAGGTCTTCATAACTACTTGAAAGTTCCAAAAATATTCTTAAAGTTAGTTAAACTGCCTTGAAGTTCTTTTGTAGTTTGAGAATCTAACCTGATGCTTGCAATACTTCTCATCATTTTTTTTTTCAACTGCTCTAAACCTTTTCGGACTTCCTAAAGTTTCCACAATTTTCCGAACGATCGTGAATCTTTTCTAAAGTGTTAGCAATTCACTGAATTTCTCACAACTTTTATTTAAAATTTGTGTAATTTCCCTGCTCTGGAATATCTCTGCTCTGAGGATATCTGTTCTTTCTTGAAGTTTTTATTTTGTTTAGAGCTTTTTCAGCGAGATCAATATCTTTCTCGAAGTTCTTGAAACTTCTCTAAAGTGTTTGCAGTTCTTATGAAGCTTGTTGTACTACCATGAATTTAATTGAACTGTTCTAAAAATGTTTAAGCTTGCGTGAACTTCTGGACTTAGGTGAAAACCTCAATAATTTTCTTAACATCTCTAAAGTTCTTTGAAAATCTGGGAACTTCTAGAAATTCTCGCTTATTTAGTAAAACTAATGGAACTCAACTCCCCTAAAATTCCCTTTGTTTTTGGAGCTTTACTAAAATTATTTGAGATGCTCCCAAAATGTCCATAAAAGTTCCTGAAGTTCTCGGATTTTTCCTTAAGTTTTATAGACGTTTATG